AGGGGTAAAAGAGGGCAAAAAGGGGGAGAAGCTAACCATACACCAGCTCTCACTTCAAGGGGTCTAGTTGCTGGTGCAAATAATCCCTCTGAACTACACATCAGCCCTTCAAAGCATTGAGCCTGGGCTTTCAAGTTAGAAGGGTGGCCTTGGGGAGCATTGTGGCCAAAATTTTTGTGACTTTCATACACCTTTGGTTACTACCTCCCCTTCTTTGGTGAAAAATCCATACATTTGAGGTGTGTACCTTTCTGGGCAAAAACAGCAATTCATACATTTGGGGTGAGTACCTTTTTTGGTTTTTGCCCAAAAATTCATACATTTTGGTTACTGTGTTCTATAGCGGCTTTCCTGGGTCCTCTGTCAATCCAAGATTGCTTGTATTGTATTCATTGCCTTGCATCCACAAACATTTGTGTCAAGCTGGTCTGCAAGACTCCTATGACTCCAACTTGTGTCAAATGGTTGAACAGTTGAACTGAATCCTCCTAGAATTAGATCTCTTGTAAGATCGTAATAACAAAAAAAATGATCATATAGGAAGGAAGAGAGTCAAGATTTTGAGGCTGCAGATGCGTAAAATTAATGAGAAAATTCAAAACAAGATACCACCATATTAATCTACTTCTTTTCCTCTTCTCCACTATCATTCTCACAAATAAAAAAAAAATGATCTCATCTGAATACAGGAACAAGGAAAAGGAAAATGTAACTACAGAACAAGATACTAAGATAAAAAATGTTTAAAACAGTGCAAAAGCAGTATTCTCAATGAAGAAAATAAATAAATAAATAAAAAACAACATTTGATGTTTCCAAAACAGGAACAAGGAAGGGGGGGATGGATGGAAAGCAAGGAGAGAAAGGCTTAAAATGTAGGCACCTGTATTCAAGCAAAGAAATGAAAAGTAGACATCTGATTAATTGTTGAAATAGATAACTAAGATAGGTTTATCAAATTTGATCAGGGAAACGATACTGACGTAATCATGGATTCGGCCTCTTGCGTTTTGAGCTATGCATTCAGCAATCCAGGTTATGCTTCTGATTTCTTGTTCTTTTAACTGTGATATAAGATAATATGATGTTTCAGAGTTCCTGCAGATTTTTACAATGGAAATAAAGGATAAATGGTCAAGCTAGACCAGCCTTAAAAAATGCGTAAAAGACGCCGAATTGAAATTGCTGCAAGAAAGCAAGTTTGTTGAGATGAACTTCTTGTTGAAAGAAGTGATCCTCCAAGTCCCCGACGACGTCATCAGCATTTCGGCCTGTTGCGCCCGATTTGGGCTCGAAGAAGGCGCGGTATTCAGGCACGTTCTCTGTGACGATCTTGACTGCCTCAACCTCCTCGGCACGAGCCAGAAGGAAATTACCCTCAGGATAGAGCTTGCCAAGTCTAGGAAACAGTTTGAATCGCTGTTCCTTGGATAGACTTGTGCCGAACGAATTGATGGTGATGTTGATCGTTCGACGGTCGGCTTCAAATCCCAAGATCGCGTTCATCACGCTCGATGTCGGCTCCCCAAGCGTCTGACAGAACTTGTGGAAATCCTCTAGATAGGCTCGGTATAGTGTATTCCGAATGATTTCGATGTTCAGATCATCCAGATCGTGCGCTGTCAAGCAGTCTCTGAAGTACGGTGCTAGAAATAGTTAACAAGCACTGAATGTTAGCCACCCTGGGACAGAACCAGCAGAATCTAAAAGCTCAAGCTCACCTAGTGGTGTTTCGACCATCACCGAGTTGTAAAGCTCCTCGACATTCGTCGCCACACATAGTGCAGGCATTGTGTCGAATACACCAAGCGGATGACATCTCTCCAGTAATTCGTGGGTGTCTCTTTCGTGTAAGGTACCAGTGATCAATAGAATGACCTAGTTTTTTTTTGTAATTGACAAAAATGAAAAATAAAAAGTAAAAAGAGCTTTAGCAATCCATTCAGATTGGTTTCTTGTTTTGATTTAAAATTCAGAGTGTGGGCTTACATTATCGATCATGTATGCATACCTTGATTGAGTCAACAGCAGCGGTAACAAAAAAAAAGCAAACTCCGGTCAGTTAGATTTCCCAATTTGATAAGTCAATGGATCGATATATTGCAAAGTGATCTTGGGAGATGACCCACGTCATATAATCTAAGAAAGTAGATAAAGGTTCGACGGCATTTGAACGGATGTAATCGAACTCAGCGACCAGTTTAGCGGTGGCCTTTTCGGAGATCGTTGAGGTTGAGATCGGGGGTGTTTCGTTCGCAAGGAAATTGCCGTAATCGGTAGCAGCTATAACAAGACATGCCCAAAGTGATTATTTAAAAAAAAGCGTAAGCGAAATGATGACTAGGTGTTGTTCTCAAGGTGAATATTCAAGAGGGTCAAGAGATTCATACATAGCTGCATCTTGAAGTCATCTAACGTATCGCATTGTGTCAAGTTTTGATACTGGGTTTGAGTGAGCAAACCAGCTTTGAATCCACGAATGACGCCTTCTAAGAAGCCTGCGTGTGTTTTCAAGAAATCAGCTGAGGTTGTCAGGTAACACTACCTTCTGCAGTTTCAAGGAGACGAATAAGACTGACCAGAGTGAGAGTTGAAGAAAAGTGCCTCCATTGTTGATGCTTGCTTGCTTGTTTTTTCTTGGTGGTCTTCGGCTTGGCGGTGATCAGTGAAGCTTGTGGTGGTCCAGTTGCTTGCTGTGTGGAGTGTGAATAATGCGGATTCAAGTCCCCGAGGTCCCCGATATGTCGGTCAGCTCGGGGAGATTGTAACGTTGTTTCCAATCAGTGACAGCAAGAATCCCAATGGCCCTGCGAGCTTCTTATAACCACATCATGAATCTATTTTGAGAAAAAGGACTGCTCTCAAGTCTTCACCCATGCTCAATCCAATTCCCCCTCCCCTCCACCTACTGGGCAAGTCTCATATGGATCACAGCCAACCAATTGATGAAAATAGTTAGTTGAATGAAGCTCTCCCAACAAAGAACCTAAATTATATTCTAAACAAAAACCAGATGAATAAAAGCTCTAGAAATAAATATAGAAAAAAATCAGCTGGAAATAATGAGTCGAGAATGGAAGAATTACCCAGCAATCAGATTGATCAAGATGACAACCTCTGAATGCAGTCTCATCTCCAGCACCCTTAACTTGGTCATCCATTACTAGTAACTGCAAAGAGAAAAATGTTAAAATAAGAAAGAGAGGGAAACCAATTCCACCAGGGCTGTAAATTTTCCAAATCAATGAGTTCAAGAAATCTAGAAGGGCTTGCTGGTTTGCTGGTTGCTCAATAACACACACAAATGTATCACACCCTTATTTTCAGACAATCTGGGAATTATTGCAACCCAAGACAAATTATGTAGTAGTCTATTGAGGCAAAAATTTGGACACACTCAGTCAATGGTGGGTTTCTACACTAAAGTATGCTCAATGAAGCCTCAGCAACCCCAAAAAACACCTTGTGATGCTGTGGGGTGAGCGGGCGGTTAGTGGTGCTACACTAACACCACGCTGTATTACACTGCTTTTTGCAGAAATAAACAAGCTAAAAGGGGGTCTAAAACTGTGTAGCAGCCACATAATTTACCCCTTGGCCATCAGCAGTAGCATGATACCACCAACAGCTAATGGAAAATATCTATAGTGTAATTAGTGTTATTTTTCCACACTACAATTTGCTGATGCTAAATTCAGCATAGCTGGCCCACCATTGACTCAGTTGTTGCTAACTTAGTTAGTGCTAAGGGATCCAAAGAATTACTCCAAAACAGTGCCACGGTCTTACACAAACACTTCACAGTGTGGACTTCATTAATTGGATGTTCCCTTTCACAAGATCATCTTGAACATTTCCTGATTGACCAATCTAGGTGGCAAATCCACCTCTAAGACCTATTCACATCTAGAATAATTAATAGGTATGCAAAACTGAACCAATGCTCAGCTTGTGTCATCAGAAAGACAAGAAGCAGACTGTCCTGGATCCTTGATCAAAAAAGTGTATTAAGATGACAAGATGTTCTAGTCTTTTCCAAATTTATTGTCCAAGAGGTCAGATTATACCCATTCAAGAATTCTGATATTTCCTTCAATTCTCCTACTTTTCAACACATCATGCCCATCTGGAGCCTGGAGGCAGTCTGGCCATCAAGTTTGGTGGGAGGGAGCACTATGCATCCAGCAACGGTGGGCCAGCTACGCTAACCGTAGCGTTAGCATAGCGTAGTGTAGCGAAAAAGTGCTACAATGTAGTGTAGCGTTAGCGCATTTTTCAATTTCTGCGCTAACGCTACGCGCATGGGGGAAAAATTTGCGCTAACGTTTAGCGTAGCGTTAGCGCAATTCCCCCCATGTGCGCTAACGCTACGCGCACAGGGCGCAAAAAACCGCCCGCTACGCTGCGTTACAGCCACTTTTAGCGGTTTTTAGGCATTTTTTGCCGCTAAAAATGCTGTAGCGTAGCGGCCCCAGTGGTGCGCTAACACTACACCAAAATTTGGCTAGTGTTAGCGCCGCTACAGGTTAGCATAGCGCAGCGGCAGTAGTGGCGCGCTAACACTACACGAAAAAAATGGCGCCGCTACGCTAACGCTACATGGGCCTGTAGCGTAGTGTAGCGTAGCCGCCCACCGCTGCATCCAGCCAGTTACACAGAAATCCAGAACATGCCTTCCACCACTAGCTTAACCAACCCTCTTGAAAGAAGAGATTGTATTTATCTTTCCAATGAAAGTTATCCTTTGCATTGGACAGTGTCAGTACCATTTCTTGTCAGGCAATCATGTCTGAAATTTTCTTGGTCAAGCAGGTTGGAGTTCTCATTGGACCTGCTTGTCCAAGCAATTAATTACCCACAAAGGGCTGATACCAGTGCCCCATATGTATCTAGATAGAAATTTTGCTTGGGAAGGGGCAGTGAGCCTGCATTGCCTCTGTCTGAAATTTGCTAGCTCACACTAATAGATTTTTTCATTTTCTTGTACAGTCAATAATTAAATCCATAAAATATGGTGCCTGGCCGTGCAGCCACCTTTGGAGGGCTTCTTGGGAAACTGTTGGCCATCACTTTTTCAAAAGTGCTTCCAAAAAAAAAAAACTAGTTGACAGTCATCAAATTGACCATTGCCATTACCTGCTCTTCAGAAGGTAGATTTTGTTGAGCTTTAGGGGCATCATTGGCAATATCTGAGCCATTCCAGATGTGCTGATCAATGTCTTAGATGAGTGCATTGTAAGTCATTTTGTAGGCCTGCCTCAGGGATTTTTGATCCTCATTGCTCTCATCCCAAAAGGAACTGGCATCAACTTTGGGGATTTTGGGGAGATCAAGTCAATTCAGATTGGCCATGAAGCGCAAGTACAAGATGTGAATCTTTAAAGCCGGGGTGATTCACTGATCATTTTGATTATGACAGTGCCAGCCCGCTAATTAGAAGCTGGATCCATGGTTGAGCATACTTTTACAACAAATGTCCAAAGATTTGGGGCCGCAACCGGTGTACTGGTGTCCGCACCGACACTGATCTGAAGCAGCCGCGCAAAGTGCGACTGTTTGGTTTTGACTTGGTCTAGAACGAAATTCTCAAGTTTTGCTGGGGGTTAGCCTGGGCGGTATGTATATGTATTAGAGGCAAGTGTGTCTTGCCGAACTGAGTTGATTTGTGGTTGATCATGGGCTGAACACAAATTTTCTGGTCAGTACTGAACTAGCCAATTAGCTTCTTGGAGCTGTCCGCACTCGGGCTACTGGGGTTTGTGAGGCTTGCCAACGGCGGACATTCCGGCTTCGATAGCACTCGACATCCTCATCGAGTAAGATTTAACGGAAGATCTCGCGTAAGTAAGCCCTGAAGCCCAGACTTACTTCCCTTTGCTGGTGGTTCGGGATGGTTTGTCCGGACTTTCGGCCGCAGCGGATTCGATGTGATTGGGTACAGCTGGGTGATAGGTTAGGTTGTTTTGGCAAGCCAGCAGCAAAATTGCGGTTGTTCTTGCTTGGCTCATCTGACAATGAGGGCCCAGAACTATGCTGCATAAGGGAAGCCGAATGACGCTCACCTGGAGGAGGGGCTGTCCTCGAATCCTCGATGTCAATGCCTGCCAATGAGCTGCTCTCAAGATTAATCATGGAGAGAGAAGTTATGAAAACCAAAAGTAGTGCTTACTCTGGAATTGATAGTTTTGTAATCCCGTGTATATAAGGGATATTCTTATTAGTCACGAAGAGTAAACTTCATTATTAGAATTCTTTCGGAACTAACTGAGAAATGATTATGTGTCTAGATTTGGGTTAGGATCGAAATCGGAAACACGACTGATTATAGCCAAAAAGGTAGGAAGAAATCAGGCATGATCCAGACCTTGGATAAAGGTATATCAAGAGTAGTTCCTAGCTGTTGTGTTTTCTTGTCTTTTTCTCGCAATATTTCTATAACTCATTCGCATCAACACATCCTCAAGTCACCGCCCGTATTTTGCTAGCTTCCAGAACAATATAAAGCTTACAGAACCCTTGGTTAGTATTTTTATTCCTATATATGACCTTCACAAAAAAAAGAAGTTGGAAATTAAACAGCAGATGGCAACTGTCAAAACTGCTACTCCCACAATATGTTAGGACTTGGGCGCATTTTCCTAATAATTCGATCATCCTACCCGCTTACGCAAAGAAGTAATGAAGATGGACTCATTGACATCAATGATTGTTCTGATGACGATGACGATGTGTATTGGGCTCGTAGCTGGATATGGAGGAGGAGATACAGCGCAGAAATTTGGGTGTCCGCATTTTCAAGTATTTGGACATTGTCGATGGATTGAAAACAGCGGCAATGGATATGTAACGTGGAATCGTTAGTTGTGATCCCCCCAGCTATCTGTTCGAAACATTGTTTTCTCTTCAGCTTCTGATAGCTCAAAAAAACCCCTACTCTTTTCCTGGACTGCTGGTTGAATAAATAAATAGTCGCTAGTGCTCCACGTTACGGGCCTGGCTATTCCTGTCGAAGTATAGATACGGCATACTGTTGTGATGACCGGAAGGAAAGCCATGCTACCCTCGTAAGTTTCCAACAGACTTTAAAAACCTGAACCATAGGATTTCACCAGGTAAATACTCACAGGTCTACTGATCCAACCCTGACATGTGTTTGTGGAATTATAGGGCAATGGAATACAAGCTTGGAATGATGTCGCCGATTTCGTCAATGGCTACCATTGTGTGGCTGCAAAGACTCACTGAAGAATTAAAATACTGCCGACCTCCACTTCACATCCATCACTTCCAAGTGCTTTGTCAGATTGCGCAGGTCCTCATCCTCAATTGTGCTCTCAACCTATCATTCGTGGAGTGACTTGCTTATGTAGTCCAGTACAGTCATTATCCGTAATCACTGTATTTCGTCATGTTCCTCTTTAGCTTGCCATTCTCACCAGTCCTGTTCAGCCATACATAACAGCCGCTTTTTTTTTGTGCAATCCAACTTGGACAGACATTTCAATCTCATTCAATTTCTAGCTCCTTTTCTCCACTCAGTCTTGATGAGTGAGGAACCTGTTGTGTCCAGGAAGCAAATGTTCTTTCAAAATCCTAGTGTATGGAGTTGAGGGCTAGTAGAAGGAACATACCTTCCATTCATGATCACCTGATGTTCATGAGTATTACTAGTCACCAGTCACCAACCGAGGAAAGGTGAGCCCGGCCCGTGCCGAGGGATCAGAACGCCTTCACCGGTGATGTATCGCGCGATTCCATGAGTGTCAGTGCGGTTTTGAAAGAATGAACAGAGGTCGACATGCCGAACCGAGACTCTATGTATACACCATGGGATGTTGGCGGCTGTCTGCCACTGGTTTATAAGCAGCCGCCGAGGTATATACATAGGCATGCAGTCGACCTGGGCACATCAAGCGAAAGCTCCCCTTGAACCATGCCGGACAACCCATGACACGCTGTCTTGCAAATCTCATTCATAAGGACATGGGCGATGTCCGGCAATGCCAATGCCTGCCAATGAACTGCTCTCAAAAAATGATCATATAGAGACAGGTTCAAGTTCGACGAAGCTCATGTTTTGCTCAAATACTCCACTCCCTTTTTCCTGCGCCTCAGCCCGGTCCATCTCTCTCTTACCCCTCTAAACTGGTACTTATACCCGGATTTCAGCAGCTGCTTCGAGAACATTGTAACGCTTGCGAAACCCGTGGTTAGTACTCCTACTCTCGTTTAATAATCCATTCACAAGAAAAACAAAAACACAAAAAATTACTGACAAACAGCTGACAATTTTAACTATTCAAACTGCTACTGCTATATTTCCCAAAACGATATTTTGCGAATTTTGTTTAGGAATAACCATATAAATACGTCCAATTACATCCTATCCGCTTTCATCAAAAAAAAAAACACCAGCAATTTAAGATGAATAATTTGACACCAATGATTATTGTGATGACGATGGTGATGAGTGTTGGTCTTGTGACTGGAGACAACAGAGATACGGCGCAGAAGTTTGGATGTCCGCATGATCAAGTGTTTGGACATTGTCGATGGATCGAGACCAACGACAATGGGTTTATAAAGTGGTATGGTAAGTTACAATGATCCCCTCCCCCCCTCAATCGAACTACAATTTGTCCGAAAAACTTGTGTTTTTTCTGTTCATGAGGTTCTTTCAGTTGGCTCACAAGCAAGAGAGAAAAAAACCCTACTCTTTTCTTTGCCTTTTGCTCGAATGAAATATAGTCGCTAGTGCGCCACGTTACGGACCAGGCTATTCGTGTCGAAGTATCGACACGGCATACTGTTGCGATGACAAGAAAGAGACCCATGCTATCCTCGTAAGTTGAGCTTTCTGTCAGCCTTGCACTTTCGACTCATTTGACCGGCCCGATATATCTTGATGGATTTGTAGGGTAATGGAATAAAAGCTAGGAATGATGTTGCCGATTTCGTCAATGGCAATCAATGTGTGGCTGCAAAGACTCGATGAAAGTACCATGGCGACCTCGGTTGGATCACTTCAAGGTGTCTGATCAGATTGCAGGTCCTTGAGCACCTTGATTATCCGTCATCACTTTATCTCGCCATGTTTATCTCTTGCTTATGTTTGTCATCACTCCTGGTCAGAACTTCAGCCACATTAATTGAGCTTCTGTTACGACATTAACCGCAGTTTGATTTTTATGTAATCCATCTTGGACAGACAATCCAATCTCTTCTTACCATCTGTTCTGCACAAACTCGTTATTCAGAGTCAGTTGAGTGAAGAACTCACTTTGATCAGAAAGCATATGATTCTTCAAAATCTTGAAGTAGCTAAGCAATGGTATCCTCGACCGGAGACGACTAACCGGCCATGAATATGCAATACAAAGAGAGCAAGAGAATTGTGAGGAGAAAGATCTACAAAGATACAGAGAAGGAAGAGTTGATTCAAGATGAAGATGGGGGGGGGGGGGGGGGAGGGTATCTCATACATGTATGTTGACGATAACGACATAAACAAGCTTCCTCCTGATCACACCAAAAAAAAGTGAAACGTAAAGATTGATGTATACAATATTTACAAAACAAAAAGAAGCCGGAGATTAGAGGAGCTGCTAGTTACGAAAGCCAGTCAAATAGTTCATGTTTTTTTTTAGTTTGATTGAATAAGTAAAGGCAAAGAAAAAGAAAGGGGGAACATTAGAAGTATTGGTTCCAAAACCCGATTGAACAGTTACGTTGATTAAAGTCGATGAATCGGTCGAGATCGAGTAACTTAGATATCAGGCTGAAGATCTCCAAGTTAGAGAACTTGGGGAGTCTGCCAACGACAAGTGGATGAGTAGTTGATTGTCGAATCGAGCGGAGTTGATTATTCTTAATGGTATTTGCAAATGGTCCATATCCTATGAAGATCGACCTCATGCTCTCTTCTTCGTTATCGTATCCATGAACTCCCTTAATGTTTTATTGTTCGTATGGGTATTTGCCATGTTAGCCTTTCAAGAATTGTGTGCATGTAAAAAGGACAGAGATTTCTCAGATGATAGCTGATAAAAAAGACAAAACTGAACTTTAACATCATACGTTCCATTCATGACCACCTGATGTTCATGAGTATTACTAATCACCCAACCGGGTTTAGGAAACACGTAGATCGGTGCAATTCTGTCGTTGGCAGTCTATCGTATCCGCTCCCAACAAGTTAGTAATGAAAGAATGAATGACGAAGTACGCTGGGGGAGAGAAAAGAGGGACTCACGTAGTGCCATCGTTGGGGCATCGTTTGATGTGTGTAGACTTCAAAACCAGGCAAGATCTTGGATTGTTCGATCAATCTTTCCAAGATAGGCCGAGTATCAACCTCTGGAAGGAACCTTAAACCAGCAGCCGGCCAACCTAAAAAAGCGGAGATAATGAATGACCAAGGGAATGAGCAAACTTCTTTTCAGAAGGATAAAGATCAAAACCAAGGATGGCAATGTAGACAAAAAAATGGGATCTGACCATCTTGGAACTGAATTTGATTGAAGTAAGTGTGACCCAAGACCTGGTCGAGATAAACGATTCTCTGATCGCTCGTTGCCATCATCCCATGATCGCCGACCATCACCACATCGATAATCTCGCTTAGATTCCGGGCCTGTAGACTGTCGTAGAGTGCGCCTACAAAACGGTCGACGCTCTGTAAGGATTGGTTGAATTTCTCGGCCGTCGGACCGTATTGATGACCCATCTGGTCTACATCTGGTACATATAAGGCTATCAACTCCGGTCGATCTTTCACTGGCAAGTCTTGATTTCCAAACAATCCACCCCACAAAAAAATCAGTCTGTATCAATTGATATTTCATGTTTTTTTTTTTTTTTTGGGAAAAAGATTGAAAGTAGAATGAACCTAGCCAATTTTCGAGCTGCCGTATTTTCTTCCACCATTTATATCGATCTTCGAATGCACGCCAATAAGTGGGACGAGTCTTGTCGATGGTATAAGGGGGACCTGGCCACATCGAGATAGCGGTTCGGATCCCATGTTTAGTAGCGGTCGCCCAGATCTTGAGAGAGTAAAGAAGAAGATCAGATATCGTATATACGAGATGATATGTAAAGAAGGTGAGACGGATGAAAGTGGCACTCAAACAGGTTCGCCGCCCCACCAGACTGGGTCCCAAGATCTATGAGGATCGATGTTACTAAAGCTTTTGCCCAGTTTAGAATCGCGGAAGTCGTTAGCAACGATCCCATGTGACTCTGGGTAAAGACCTGTGAGCATCGACCAATGGTTCGGGAACGTGAGCGTCGGGAATTGGGGCTCCAGGTAGTCCGCCGAGATTCCGAGCTTCTCCCTGATCGTCGTCAGTCTCGGCGTCAGACCCCTCTCTAGATATTCTGCTCTTCGATCATCAATTGTATCCCCCCATCACCATCACCAGATCATGCATATTATCGTCATCAGCTCCTTGGTCATAATACCCATCGTCTACTGCAGCACAATGACTCACCTGAACCCATCCAAGGAGACGATGATCACCGTTTTTTTGAATCGATGGGTCCCGTTGAATAGCGGTGCTCCGATTTCAGCGATCTTGTCCTCAGCATCTGGGTCTGAGTCCTTCCAGCCACCGCCTTGATTAGCCCAGTTGTCTGTATTGTCGGTAATACTACCGGGTGGGGCAGACGGTTTTACGAATTTCGAGGTAGGTTTCTTGGAGCTAGTTGGAGGATTGCTTTGGTCAGTGGCAGTGCCCGTCGTTGTTGTTGTTGCTGAGAGATGAGGGGTAGTCGCTCGTGGGAAGAGTGGTGAGATGGATGGGGCTAGACAGAAGAAGAGTAGGAATAGGCCTAGCGCGATGAGTGAGGAGATCAGGAAGGTGGAAGTTGGAAAGGGTTCGAGGTCGTTCTTCTTTTGGCGTGATGCTTGGTGGTTATCAGATTTCAGTAATGGTTCTTCTAGTGATGCTGTTTGGTTTGTTTCTGCTTGATGCTGCTGCTGAGTCTGAATATAGCCTTCTTCATCATCATCGTCGTCGGTTCGTATTCCAGTTTGCAGGTTCGTTGGTCCTAATGGGTTGCTCCGTTGTACAGTTGAGCCCTTCCGAGATCTGACCATGGTATTGATGAAAAGTGAAAAGTTGGAGGAGAACGGTCAACAAGGAAGAAGACGAGCTTTTATCCCCCCCGAACCACGTCCCTTTCGGGGGGTCCCTGCCCCCCTCCGAATAAAGAGGGACTGAATTGGCACGGCTCAAAGATGGCTTCGAGTGAACTGGTTGTTAGACAGGTCCCTCGTTGCGGAGGACATTCTCATGACCCTCTTGAACGTTCACCTTGAGAACCACACCTAGCCATCATTTCGCTGACGCCTTTTTGTTTAATAATCACTCTGGGCATGTCTTGTTATTGTAGCTGCTACCGATCATAACCGCAATTTCCTTGCGAACGAAATGAGGCCTTTTGATTGCCAGTTTGATCTTTCTGGGCAATGCCACCCTTTTGATCATTCCTCCTGTCACTTTTCGAAAGTATCTGGACTTGGGTGGTTGGTTTCCAGGCTTCCATCGACTGTTGATCCCCCAAATCCCAAGGTGTGTTCCTAGTATATCATTGTGGCGGAGATGGGGTGAAGGGCTTGCTCGGTCTACCACAACCATGAATAAGATGGCCGCACCCCAGTAGCCTCTAGTACATATACATCATATTATTCATTTACGTTTTGGTTGTTGTGAATAGAGAAAATGTAGAACAGATACAAGTATGTACATACTGCCAAAGAAGAAGAAGAAAAAAAAGTATTGCCCACTGATGCACATCAGAAACAATGACAACAACAAAAGATAAAACGACAAAAAAGGGGGGTTTGCAAACTTTTGATGAAGGGGAGAGAGAGAGAAATAAAATAATAAATCTGGAATGTATGTAGATCACTACTATACATATTTTATTGAGAATCCTATGACTAAATTGGAATAATAAAAAAAACGACGAGAGAAAGAGCGGAGAGATGTCTATGGGCTTAGATAGGAGGCAAGGGACGACGACAAACAGGACTAAATGCATCCCCGCCGTACACACACACACACCCCAAAAGAAGGACAGAACATGCGAGGATGAGTTCAAGTTCAACCAGAAGAAGGACTGATCAAAGAGATAAAAAGGAAGGAAAGGAGGACGAAAGAGGTTAACGAACCATTCAGATTTAATAGCGAGCCAACCTTCGAGACATTTAGTATGAGCGATGTGATGGCAAGGAGGGACCATGTAAGACCAGCGCGAGAAGAGAGAATGGTGGACGTCAGAGGAGGAGCTAGAGAAGGGGAAAGCTGAGGAGGCGAAGGTAGTAGAGGGGATGTGACGGAGGAGAGGCGATTCTGAGGAGTCATGAGAAGATTGCCGATGATGATGATTATGAAGTGATTGTTGGTGGTCGAGACTAGAGACAGTGCTGGATGTGGGCGAGGATGGGAGGACGTCGATCGGCTCGAAACAGATCACGCATTCCGGCATCTTCTCCCCATTGCTCACACTCCCGCCCTGCTCGAGATCTACCTTCGTCGGCAGCTTCACTGGATGGTAGTCCCACATTGGCTCATACGAGAAACAGAACCCTAGTAGGAAAAACCGCGCGCCTAGGTAATCTTGTAGGATTAGTATCATCGCTTGACTCAATGAATATAAAGCGATCATCCAGATCCATGCTATATCACCAAATCTCTCTCTTTGAATCAGTCACTACTCTCGATCAATTCCAAAAATGAAAACAGAAGTAATCCTTACGGTTCGCAGTAACAAAGAGTACATTATTAGGACATCCCCAAATCTGTTGTTTTGCCAATCAATCAAACCTTGGAATCCAATCAGCATTTATCCTTTTGTATTCAAATATTTGTAAAATAAAAGCGTAGATTCCTAACATAGAGAGGCAAGAAGAGTCGACAAAGGGTAGTGCCGAGGACGTATCGTTTACGCAAGCCTCTGCGACTGGTTCCGTGTTGAACATTATGAACGATCTGCGGAACTAAAAAAAAGACATCAAGAAGAAGAGTCAATGTGAAGTACTTGATTAACAAGGCGGAGGAATCAGAAGGGGGGGAAAGGGACTTACTCCAATAAGAGAATAGGATCGAGAGCACTAGTGGTTGCCAACTGTATAATAAGAATGGGACGATCAGGAGAAAGATGGCTACGATTGAAATCAAAACTACACAATAAGGAAGCGCATGTCAGGAGGATTCTCAAAAAAAGAAGGCTGAGGGAAAACCAACCAAGTGGACGATGTGCAAGTAAACTCTTGAGGGAGTTGAGCAGGCTTCGGAAGCGTGATTGACGCGGAGGGAGAGCTGGAGCGGGAGAGGGTTCCACATGAGGGGGGTCGACGAGGTCGGTTGTAGGCACCTGTACGTAGTCAGTGTCGCGGCCGATGTGGGAGTCTTCCACTGGAGCCTGCGAGCGATTGGCGGGATCGGCGGTGGGGGAGGGCTCGTGGATCCGGATCAGGGCGCCGTATCGCATCCCGAACAGGATCGCATTCAGACAGGCAAAGAATGCCGGCACCAGTAGTGTCTCCGTCGAGCTGTTGTTCGTCACGACTGCTAATGTCAGATGACTCGAAAACGTCCAAGCATCCATAATGATTTGGGCCACTAATGAGAAGTATGACATCCTTGATAAACTCTAGCGTGCCCCCCCCCCAAAAAAAAAAAATGTTCCATCGAAATGAGTTTGATTTAAAGTATGTATAGGAATCTGATCCAGAGAAGTAGTCAAGAGGCTTACCGAAGGACTCTGACGACTGTCCATTTGCCAAACGAGCAGCCAACATTGAAGGCCCAAGACGAGGCCAGCAACCCAGCCGTAGTTCCTAGTTTTGGACCAAAAGGAGGGGCCGAGGAGGACGGACATCTCTCCGGATTCGAGGACTAGGCCGCAGTTGGGCGAGACCATCAAGGTCTGTAAGATCGGATGGCCGGGCGAAGGGACGGTCAGGGATGCCCCTGTGGGCTCCACCAATGATCGTTCATACTCCATTAAGCTTTCTGCCGTTTGCGTCGTTGTCGTCGATAATGGGGTCAAGCCTCCATAGATCAAGAAAGTACAGTTGGCTACATCATGCTCAAATCCGTCTGCAAAAAAAGGGGAAAGGGTTGGGATCAATTCTCTTTTTTTTTTCTCTGGATGATCGAAATTTATGAGGAATGAGTTCAATCACCTCTCTCATCATTTTCGCGAGGCAAGTCGCCCTTCTTCAAGATTTTCTTGATCTTTTCGATCCGATGTTCGTAATCGGCGATGATAGCTTGAGTGATCTGGAGTTGTTGAGGGGATGGCGGATAAGGGTTGGGTGAGGATTGATTGAGATGTGGGTGATCGACGAGGTATTTGTTTGGGATGTCGATAGCTGATGAGAGGTGGATTCGGGTGTCTAGATACATTCGACTCGGATAGGCTCGTAGATAAAACTTTCCCTCGTTCTGTAAGCTGGATCACAGTGAGGGCTTTAATGATTACGGCTATTTAAAGGTAAGGAAGGGCAAAAAAACAGACTGACTGGATTCCCTCTATTTCGAGCATGATATCCTTAGAGTCACCGGACGAGATATACATCGACCCCTGTTGGCAAATACGTAAATAGCAGTCAGTGAGAATATGAATGAGAGAATGTGTTTTTGTTTTTGTTGAGATGATAGAGGACGCACTCTGACCATGGAAGTATTTGCTCGGATGAGTTCGGGTGAGGATTCACGGAGGTTGAAGTCGATCTTTTGAGCGGATGGATAGGTCCATTTGTTGGTGATGGATTGATTGAGTGTGTTTTTGGGTGGGGTCCAGGGGAAGTTACCCCGGCGAGTCTCGAATGAATCGAGAGGAGATGATGCTGATGAGTTTGTTGCAGGAGAGCTCTTGTTGGCTGATTCTGGCCACCATTCTAGACTCTCCTTCCTCCATCTCCAGTGTCCCTTGATATGGCCTGAGATATTCTTCCAGTATATGGCTTGAGTTTCGATATTCGATCGGTCGCTTAGTTGTTGGTACCACTGTTGAATGAATCGCTGTGCATTGGTTAGGCTCTGGGATCCGAATGTTCGATTGGGATGGTAGCTCAGTTGAGGGGTGATCGGGAGTGTGCTAGTGTTGTTGGTGTTGTAGTATTGTTTTAGTCCGATGAGCTCATGGTTTCGTTGTTCGAGTCTTCGTTCTAGTTGTCTCTTCGATTGGGATTGGTTGTTTGAGTTGGTTGAGTTTGAGAAGAAGTAGAAGAGTAGTCCGATGAGGATCAAGAATGGTAATGAGCTCGGTTGAGTTCGTCGGCTGTTGTTTTCCATCAGTTTTCTGTTAATTGGTTGCTGTGGTCGTGGTTTTTGGGTCGAAGTGGTTTGGTTGGAATTCAAAATTGGCTTAACAGTAAACTGAACAGCAGCCAGCCAAACTTAACTTCTGCATATCAGCCCAGTTCACATTCGCCAGTTCCAATGGCTGATCACCTTGTTAAAAGGGATGGATCTGGAATAATCTGGGGGACTCTGGACTACACATTCAAAAATAAGTATCAATGGACGACTTCCCGTCACATCTGCGGGTCTCCCAGAAGTGATTTAGAGGCCTCGAAAGCTAGATTTCCCAGCGAAATTCTAGACTTTTCGGGTCTAAATCGACATCTGCGAGGGTCCCAGATCCGACGGGAAGTCCTCCAATGATTGGATGACTTCCCGTCGCGGTTTACAACCCTCCCAGAATTTGATTTACACCCCCAAGATCTTAATTTTTGATATAAAAAAATATTTTTTCATAAGCCTTGGGAAGATAGCTCTCATGTGAGCTGGTTGGAATTATGATTGAGGTGTAAATTTAGGACTGGGGAGGGCTTAAAAAGCACTCTAAATGGCGACGGGAAGTCCTCCATTGGAGGACTTCCCATCGGATCTGGGACCCTTGCAGATGTCGATTTAGACCCGAAAAGTCTAGAATTTGGCTGGGAAATCTAGCTTTCAAGGCCTCTAAATTGCTTCTGGGAGACCCGCAAATTTGACGGGAAGTCATCCATTTCCTGATTACAGCAAAAATTGTTGCTGATGACTGGCTATTGTGAACCGTCCTAATAGGACGGTTCAGGTCTGAACTTTGGAGCAAGTTTTATAGCATTTATCATTAAAATTTTCCAAGTTTGTCCAAAATCTCAAATTCCTCCAAACCTGATGATTCATGAGATTTGACAAAATTCATAAAATTTTATCCATAAAAGTGCTAAAAGTTGCCTTGAACTTCAGACGTCCAAAATTAATTTTAACTCATTTGAGACATTTTTATTTTTTGGCTAAAACAGCTCATTTTAGCTTAATTTTTACTCCTGAGTCATTTTGTAAAAAAAGCCTTAGGAAATTGAGCTATTTTCCACCACCCAAATTGCCATTTTTTTCTGGGGCAAAACTGGTATGGTTTGTAGTGTATAATCACTTGTCTTTCAGATACAACTTATTTCATACCATATTATCATTTCGGCTGATATCTTACCACTAGTACCTGATCAGAACCACCCACATGTATATTGTAGAGACAGACAAAATGAAGATGTGTCTGGTGAGAGTCAAACTCACGACCTCAGCTAAGCTGAGACACATACTAGAGTGCTTACTTTACCAACTAGGCTACAGACGCTTGTGACTGCCAGGGTAGTTGGGTGGTAGTGCTCATGGTTTGACATGTAGTGATACATCATGGTAGCAGACTATCAGACACCTCAACATATATAGAGACTACTCCTTTTCAGTTACTTTGTTCCCCATGCTTGCATTAGAGAAGTAAACAGATAATTACTTAGCAGACATCACTTACTAGTAGTTACCAGAAGTAATTATTATTGATTTTCCCCCAGAAGATAAGAAATTGAACCCAGAAACCATTATCCCCCAGAGCCTCATCCTTACCAGAATCCCCCACATCCTCAATCTCTCAGCAGGTGACTTGTACAAGACAGCAGTAATAAATCTCATACTAAGATTACCCACAGAAATAGCCACACCTTTTCTTTAATTCTTAGTGTAATTCTATCCCAAACCTTGAAAAGAGGGCAGCTCCATCAGCATCCAAGTCTTCAAATCACATTCTCCCCTGTGTAGTTGGTCTTTCCCCTCTAAGCTCTTTTCTTTAGCTTGAAAAGTTCCACAGCGTGGGCGGGCGGGAGGGGGGAGGGTGTGTGTTTATCAACGCATGGAATTCTAGGCTAAATTAACTTCTTGAATGACCTCTTGGAGCTTCTTGAATACTATACCCAAGGTTTCAGCCCTTTTTTGCATCACTATGTGGGCCAAAAAGGGCCCAAAAGCGCTCCCAAGTCCTACTAAGCTCCCCTGGGCAACCCCTGAGGCCTTCCACAGGTATTTAAAGGGCATTCTGACCGTCCAAGGAGTGATCTCCCAGCTTTTCAATATCATATAGAAACCCACTTACCCTTTACAAGTCCCCTACACTTGTAATTAGCCTAGTTATTACTATTATTGCTGTTATTAAGCCTCAAATCCTCAAGAAAATCTCCAGTTATCACCCAGAACCCAAAATCAACCTTCTTGAGTGCCTTTAATTGTTCAGTTTGTGCTCTGAAGATCATCAAGACCCTAGAGGATTATTACTAGTAAGTAATTACCCTTCTCTTGAGATTTTCCCCTTAAAATTAATCCTGGTATTTAACCTACACCTGCTACAGGCCCCAGTGTATCAGTTACCTAAATTCTCTTCTTTTTGCACAATACCTTAGAGGGATTATACTACCCCTGACTTGTCAGGCCCCTCTGGTTTTGTTTTTCTATTAAATTTATTTAAGAAGAATTGGCCGCTTTTTCTCTATAAATTACATCAAAAATCCCATAATTTCATTGGAATTTATTCCTTTAAATTAAAAAAAAAATCCCACATTCTTTTAGCTGTTTTGTACCACGTGTAGCTAGACAATATTCCATCTTGGCATCACGTAGGCTGACAAATACAGTGTTCTCGTAGCAGTTAGTCTTATTTCCTCATTTCTTATTCAGCTTCTAGGTACACTAACATCATCATCAATACATGCTAGGCTGCTAGCCCACAACCTTCATATTTGATTCTCCTCATAGACCTGCAATTTTTTTCTAAACCTACCTCAACTTTCTGGCTTGCTGCTCAATTGCCACCCCTTTTAAATTCCTCTTACTTCAAATCCTATTCCAGTGTTGGTTTCTATTGATTAATACCAAGTTTGTTTACCAAACCCGTCAAATTCACCTTAATCTACGATAGAAATTAACATTTTCTAAAACCCTATTCCGTGGTCATTGTTCAATCTCCTTTGCGGTCTATCACATGGGCCTATACAGAATTTCCCCAAAAGGAAATCTTGTAAATTTTAGGGAAATTCTGTAAACATTGAAAAAAATCTGGATTTTTTTGGATTTTCCAGATTTTCAAATTTGTAGATGCTCTAGATATTCTAGAGTTTTCAGATTTTTTAGATTTTTTGGACTTTTTAGAATTTTTAGAAAGTTTAAAATTTTTAGAAATTTTTAGAAATTTTAGAAATTTTTAGAAATTTTAGAATTTATTTAAAAAATCTAAAAAATCTAAAAAGTCTGAAAAATCTAAAAAATCTAAAAACTTCTAAAAACTCTAAAAATTCTAAAAATTCTAAAAAAGCCAAATAAACTAAAAAACTAAAAAATCTGAAAAATGTAGAATATCTAGAGCATCTATAAATTTGAAAATCTGGAAAATCCAAAAGCTAACGATTCAGAAAATCCAAAAAATTCAGATTTTTTTTTCAATGTTTACAGAATTTCCTTAAAATTTACAAGATTTCCTTTTGGGGAAATTCTGTATAGGCCCATGTGTATGCCTCTACCTCTGATCAAGACTTCATGCCTGTAAATAAACTTACTCAAATACTCTGAGCTCCCCATCTCTCCACATAATTGTTTCAAATTCTAATCTTATATTTGTCTGTTCATCACACTAATCTCTTAAAATGATTGAAATCAAAATCTGTATTTATCAGCTGTGGGCCGCTAAGCTACACTACATTACGGGCCCATGTAGCGTTAGTGTAGCAGCGCCAATGGCTGCTGTTTTTTGTGTAGTGTTAGCGTGCTGCTACTGCTGCTGCACTACACTAATTTACAGCGGAGCTAATACTAGCCATTTTTTGGTGTAGTGCTAGCGCGCTGCTATGCCACAGTGTTTTTAGTGGCAAAAAACACCTAAAAACTGCTGTAACGCAGCATAGAGGGTGCTTCTTTGCTCCCTGTGCGTGTAGCGTTAGCGCAGATGCGCGGAATTGCACTAACACTACACTCAATGTTAGCGCACTTTTGTGCCCCGTGCTCGTAGTGTTAGCACAGAAAATTAGAAATGTGCTAACGCTATGCTGATTTGTAGCATTCTTCCACTACGCTAATGCTACGGTTAGCATAGCTGGCCCACTGTTGTGTCTATGCTGCCAAGGAACCTCCATTTGTTGAACAACACCAGTATTGCATTCAAGATGCCACCCCTTGGTACGGCACTTTATCTTCAGTTTGTAGGTAGAAATTCAGGTTGTGGTATTGACTGAGCAAATTTCTATACATGGAGGTAGCCACACTATTCCCCAGTACCCCCTAATATGAGGTATATCCCAGAAACCTGAAATTAAAAATGTATGTAATTTCCCCTAGGTTTGAACATACATTCCTATCTATCAGCCCAAAGAAAAGGAAAGAATACAGAATTGGCTTCTTTTGAGATCCTTTTCAAGATATTTAGAATGTAATACCAGGGAAAATTAATTACTATTGGAGGACTTCCCGTTGGATCTGGGACCCTCCCAGAAGTCAAGGGTGTATCAAATATAGAAAATCCACCATTAGAAACCAGTCACTTTTTCCAAAACTTTTTTTGCATCAAGGGGTCCCAGAAGGGGTTAAATGAAGAACCAACATGTTTAGAAAAGAGTGGATTTTTTTCAAACCAGTCAATTAAATAATGGTGGATTTTGTTATATTTGATACCCCCTAATATTATAAAAGGCCTCTGTGGAATGTTAAAATTTGTTCTTGATCAAGTGATAATTGATGAGGATTAAGATTCAAATCCCATATCTTTTAAGTTTTTACGCAAATAGCCAGAAGGCCTTGTGAAAACATGTTTGGAAATCAGTCAGGCCAACACTGTCTTCAGGTTAGCCCAACCCACCAAAATTTTGCCCTTCTCCCAGTGTTAATTACTGTTTTCTGGTTAAGCCATGCCACCAATCTGACCTGTGTGTCATAATAAAACATTGTTTTGCAATTTTTGAATTGACACATGTGTCATATGTTTGTTGAAGACAAAACAAACTACTCAGTGTGTCCCTGTCTTCAAACCTGCAGGAAATACA